TTATACTGGTATAGATCTAGTCCATATATTGCCATCAGCAACAACATAAGTAACAACATGTTTCAGGTTCTGTTATAATATTTCTAGTCTTTCATTTCATGGAATCTCGTTTCATATCATGAAACATTGATTCACAGATGTATATATATCGTGCCTTTACATTTCAGGAGGCTAGGAAAGAGGAAGAAAGAAAATTTGGTGTGTTTTATGAAGATGAATATAATTATCTACAACATCTTCGGGATGCCAATGAAATTTCTGAGTTGGAACCGATAGAGAGGATCCGTATCTCCAAATCTGACAAGCCTAAACCGTCTACATCTAAGGTAATAATCTCCAAATCTGACAAGCCTAAACCGTCTACTTCTAAGGTAATAATCTCCAAATCTGACAAGCCTAAACCGTCTACTTCTAAGGTAATAATCTCCAAATCTGACAAGCCTAAACCGTCTACTTCTAAGGTAATAATCTCCAAATCTGACAAGCCTAAACCGTCTACTTCTAAGGTAATAATCTCCAAATCTGACAAGCCTAAACCGTCTACTTCTAAGGTAATAATCTCCAAATCTGACAAGCCTAAACCGTCTACTTCTAAGGTAATAATCTCCAAATCTGACAAGCCTAAACCGTCTACTTCTAAGGTAATAATCTCCAAATCTGACAAGCCTAAACCGTCTACTTCTAAGGTAATAATCTCCAAATCTGACAAGCCTAAACCGTCTACTTCTAAGGTAATAATCTCCAAATCTGACAAGCCTAAACCGTCTACATCTAAGGTAATAAACCACAACCGCCTATAGATGGGACCATGATTGAATATAATTCAATTCGGTTTTGAATATAAGCCAATCAAAACAATCTTTTTCATATGAGAAGTGTTGTCTCGTGGGCCTATATTTTTATAATATTCACCAGTTTTGTTACTGTGAAGCAGCATATTGATTCATCTGTTTGAAAACCACATGAATAGATATATATTTAGACCTCCATATGATTTATTTGATAGTAACTTTTGAAGGTATATTTTGATAATAAAATTTATAAATTATTTTGCAGAAATCAGAAAAGAAAGATGGTGATAGGGAAGAAGATGGCGAAGAAGAAGAAGAGGAAGATGAGACGGAAACAGAAGAGAAAAAGACGAAATCTA